GACATATTCAGTCTTGTGCAATTGACTTTATTGTGATGCAATATGAGAAGATGCGATAAGAGACAGAATAATGTTTTGTTTTGTGTAACAAGATGATATAAGAGGCTACATTGTAGAATGTATAGTACTACAGAATCCAATCCAGTAAGAGATGCAATATGTTTTCTACTATACACTATGAGACACTTTGAAATGCAATACAACGCAATACGATGCACTACAGAGTGAGGACAGAACTTCTGCTAAAATACGATATATGGTACAATTAGATGCAATACTTCACTGCATCTATTTGGACTTGTTTTAAACGAAAAGATTTCCTAATAACAAATAGGCCACGAAAAAACTTCTAATAAATGTTTGTACCTATGCTTATTTTAAAATGTATGTAAATGTCTAAACACCAAAAGAGGGAAAAAATAGTTAAAATATTGCTGGAATTGAATGATTCCCACTATTAATACCATGCGATGTTTGTAAAAATTACCTTTAATAAAATTTAATTTATGTCAGTATAGTGTAAACTGTTCTAAAATAGTCTTTATATCACAATAATGTTTTGTATCTCTGCTTGTCTTTCCTTGCACTGCTAGTTCAGGGGAAGCCTGGTTCTGCTGGAGGTGTCTTCCTGTTAAAAGGGAGTTTTTCCTCTCCACTGTCGTTATAGCAGGCTTAATGTGAAGGACTGCTGAGGAGTCAATGAGTGGATACAATGAGCTGGTTTCCTTAGATAGAAAACTGTGGATACGTTTTACTGTATGATCTGGTTGATTTATGTCTGTAAAGTGCCTTGAGATTACATGTGTTGTGAATTGGCGCTATATAATTAAATTAATTGAAGTGAATTAAAACACAGAAGTAAAGCAAAGCTGGAAATCTTATCCATAAAAAAAATGTTTGTGGTAAAGTTTTACCAATAAAACAATTCAGCTTTTAAATTTAAATACCAAAAACATAAACTCAGTGTTGTCTTCCAGCACCTAAGCTTATTTTTATGTTTTTTGTAAAAGACTTGTTTATTTTTTTTAATCGATAAATTTCCCGTTTACGTCTGTGACTCTTCTGTTTGCAGTTGGGTGAGAACAGGCGAGTGCTGCAGGCCCTGCGAGGGCTCCTGGAGGAGTTTCGAGAGGAGCTGCGGGACGAGCAGATGAGGCGGTGCCAACTGCAGCAAGCGTACGCCAATGACAAAGCAGCCTGGGAGGTCAAGTGGACAGAGATGAAGTGCCAGGTCACCCAGGTACAGATGGCGTCTCAGCGCCCACCTTTAAAGGGACACAGCACAGTCTGTTAGAAAGACACAGCTCTGCTCTCAGTAAGCAGTTAGATGACTGTAAACATGTTGCCTCTTCCAGGCGTGACGGCCAACTCTGGACACGCTTCATGGGTTGGCCGCTTCACGGAAAAAATAGGCATAATTTAATCTAAATCCTGTTGCTGAGGACACAAATAGGCTGAAATAATTTTTCTTTTTGAAAAGATCAAAAATAGCATCCAAGACAAATAATATTAACCACTAATATTTAGCCACTTACAGTGTAATTTGTTGTTATTATGCACACTAATTACTCCATCATTCAAATATTTTTTTCCTATAGTCTGATATGTCATTGAGTATTTCTCAAAAGAACAGCAGATATTCAGATCATTTTAGTTGTCCAATCGTAAGGTTTTACAAAAAGCAGGTTGTTCTCTGTGTGCATTACAGTCAGGCAATTAAAAAAACAGCTGATGACCTGTTAAAAATGTATGGTTAGTTCTGCAAATACAAATTCAGGAAGAAGATTAAAAGAATAAAAAACTTCCAATAAAGAGGATATGAATCTGTTCAAGCTGATGTGAATCAGTCTTGAAAAAAGGTTGCTTCAAATATGACCAAAAAACTACGAAATATTACTAAAACGTTGGTATCTTCTAGAAACTGATGAACTCTGTTTAAGGATAAGAGAATGAAACGCAGAGAAGCTGGTCAGAGATGAAGGGAAGATGGAAATTAAATCAGGGCTGTCCTTGAAGAAAACTTTTTAGATGAGAAGAAGACGTGAGACTTAGATGGAGGTTCAGCTTCTAAAAGAAAACAATCATCTAAACCTGTAGCCAGAGAGGAAGGATTAAATCAAAAAGTTCCCCAGTACAAATCCAGGCTTTAATCCAACAGAAAACCGATGGAAGGACTTAAAAAAAAAAAAGATAAGTGTATGGGGAATCATTTTACCACTTTACAACTTTTCCTTTGATTTTAAATGTTTGTTTTTATGAGATTATTTTTTGGCAGTGTGTATTTAGATGACTAACTGTTAGCTGTAACTGCCCCACCTTCATCAGATCAGCTGCTCATTAGATCACTCACAGATTTGAGGATAGGGGTTTGGTTATGAGAAAACAGCAGACCGGTAATGCTTTTTAAAAACAGTGTAGGTTAAAGAAAATGTCAGGAAAATAGTTTCTTTGCGATAACTACTTATAAAGCTGGATTGTATGACTTTTTTGGTGCTTTGATAGTGAAGCTCTTTAAAGGATGGGGAGGGCGTGCCCTAGAGGGGCTGAATCCACATGGATTGGATCAGTTTAATTTGTAGAGGTCAAGATGGGTTCCTTGTTATCTGATCAGCTTGATTCAGCTGAAGATCTTCTGCTGTCGCAGCCTGATAGTGTCCGACCGCTGTGTTCAGAGATGAAATCTGAAGCATGCTGTGTCAGAGCAGAGTCACTTCTAAGCTTTATCTGATTAAAAAAAAATGGGGGAATGCAGCTTTCGGAACCAATTAGGAGGTTTGAGCTATAGGAAGAAGATTATCTTTTTAACTCTGACGCTTCTAATCTGTGCAGCTCTTACATGGTTCAATCCCTCCACAGTGCAGAGGTTGCTGAGGGCTGCACTGAGAACTAATGTGCTTAGTTTCATCTGATAATGATGGGAGCGCTCGCTCACTGCACGCTGCTTCGTTCTGGTTAAGCCGTTGGAAATGTGCTTTTTATTCATTATGATTGTGCGTCTCAGTAGAGCAGAGCAGCATGTGGGGGTTAGAAATTGCCTCTCACCTGTGTTTAGATGTGAACATACGGTCCAGTTTGACATCTGGCTTGTTTTAGACCAACTGGTTTATAAGCTGACAGCTGTAAAGGTTGTGTGAGGGTTTTTAAAGATGGCTCCTCACATAGCACCGACTCTTCACTCTGGTTTGTACTGTTATGCTGTGGGATCAAAGCCTCTCTGAAGATCACAAAGCTCTGTTCCGCAACAAAAAAAAAAGAGAAATTGCTCCTTTTTTCTGTGCTGCATCTTTGGAGATTCCTGCAGGAATTCCAACTCCTTTGTTCACACTATCTTCTCAGGAGAGGATGGATTGTAATTTTAATTTCAGAGAACAGCTTTTGGGTTTAGTCCTAAATGAACAAGGTAACAGAGGTGTTTAGTCACAACTGAACAGATTGCATGCTGGCTCCTTTTCTCAAAACCTGTATTAATTTTTTCCCCCTTTTGAGACAGATTAAGAGCAGCTGCTTCTGTGATACATTTCTATAAGTTTAACATTAACAAAGCCAGATAGACAACAACAAAACAACAAAGAGCGCATGACCTTCAGCATGTGCTGAAGCTGCTGGCGTCTGGAAGCAGTGCAGAGTGAGCTACTTGCTCTGCGTTTGTTGCAACCTTTTTCTCAACGGAGCTCACTATCTTTGTGCCATCTTCACCTTGTAGGAGTTGGATGGAGCAGGAAATGGAAATACAGATTGAGACATTTTCTGCTGGAATGTGGATGTTACTCTAGTGTGGAAAAAGCTAAGCAAACAAAGAAAATATATATAAAGTTCTCAATCAATTGGACCTGCTTTGTTTACCCCTAACCTGTGGTCAGAGATGCAGTGAGGAAAATAAGTATTTGAACACCCTGCTATTGTGGAAGTTCTGCCACTTAGAAATCATGGAGGGGTCTAAAATTGTCATCATTGGTGCATGTTCACCGTGTGCATGGACTGGGGCTCCATGCAAGATCTCACCTTATGGGGTCTGAATTATCCTAAGAAAGGTGAGAATTCAGCCCAAAACTAAAGGGGAGGAGCTGGTCAATGACCAGAACAGAGCTGGGACTGATGGTAAGACACTAAGACATCATTGTTTGAAATCATAACTGGCACTGAAGGTTCCCCTGCTTAAACCAGCACATGTCAAGGCCTGTCTTGAGTTTGCTAATGGCCCTTTGGATGATCCAGGGGAATCAAGGGAGAAAGTTATCTGGTCAGATGAGACCAAAATAGAACTTTTTGGTCTTAATTCCGCTAAACGTGTTTGGAGGAAGAAGAATGATGAGTACCATCCCAAGAACACTATCCCTACTATGAAGCATGGGGATGGAAGTATCATGCTTTGGGGGTGTTTTTCTGCACATGGGACAGGGTGACTGCACTGTATCAAGGAGAGGATGACTGGGGCCATTTATTGAGAGATTTTGGGGAACAACCTCCTTCCCTCAGTTAGAGCATTGAAGATGGGTGGAGGCTGGGTGTTCCAACATGACAATGACCTGAAGCACAAAGCCAGGATAACCAAGGAGTGGCTCCGGAAGAAGGTTCTGGCTTGGCCTAGCCAGTCTACAGATCTAAACCTCTTATAGAGTCTTTCGAGGGAGCTTAAACTTAGTGTTTCTCAGCGACAGCCCAGAAACCTGACTGATCCAGAGAAGATCTGTGTGGAGGAGTGGGCCAAAATCCCTCCTGCAGTATGTGCAAACCCGGTGAAAAACTACAGGAAACGTTTTACTTCTGTAATTCCAAATAAAGACTACTGTACAAATATTAACATTCATTTTCTCAGGTGTTCAAATACTTATTTGCAGCTGTGTCATACAAATAAATATAAAAAATAAAAAAAAATCATTTATTTTGATTTCTGAGTTTTTATTTTATAGTGTCTGTCATCGTGGACATGCAACCACGATGACAATTTCAGACCCCTCCGTGATTTATAAGTGGGATAACTTGAAAAATAGCAGGGTACTCAAATACTTATTTTCCTCAGCCCAAACAATTAGATTACATTGTTATACTCAAGACTAGTTTGAGCCTTCGTTCTCAGTCTTGACCACATTTTTGCTATCTTCTCTGTTTTCCGTACTGGAATTCAGGATTATTTAGTTGGTCTTTATAGCAACTCTATAACTAAATGTACATTACTACCTAGGATATGCCTTAGAGATGGTATTCACTATGTTTCCACTGTTCTCTACGAACAAACTATATTATACTTAAGTGCAAACACTTGTAAGTTGAATTGCAATGAAACAAGTAGCAGCCGTTCTTTTGAAATCTGGTGTCACATGCCTCTTTTGCTTCCTCTGATTTATCTTTATGAAATGTCCTGGTTTCTAAAAAATAGTTTTCTTTGCGTGTGATGGACAAAGATGTTCAACAGCAGTACAGGTTGGCCACCTTGCTATTAGAAAAAAAAAAGGTTTTTTTTATGCCAGTCTGACAATATGAACTAAAATCGTGTTGACAATTGTTCTGTTCTTATAAAGGGTATTCCTAAAACTTCCATTAGAAGAATAATAAACCAGCTATATCTCATCTGTCATATCTTAATGAGAACTGATATGAGAATTTCTTGCATAGGCTATTTAACAATTTCTTCAATGACAGAATGACACAGTAGTCGTGTGTTTTAATTGACAAAAAGTATTCCTTGTTCTACACCTAACAGTCTGTGTGTTTAATCTGTGCGCAGCTGGAGGAGGAGGCTCGTAGAACGGAGAGAGGTGAAGCTCAAGGAGGCGAAGAGGAGCCGGCTGGAGCGGAGCCCACCTGGGCACTGAAGCAGGAGCGGGAGGAGCACCGCCGCTTGTTGTCCGAGAGCCACAGCGAGTCCCTGGACCTCCGCTGGAAGCTGCAGCACGGAGAGAAGAGGTGGAACCGTGAGAGGGCTGAGCTCCAGGAGCGCTTCGACCGGGAGCGCCAGGAGTGGGAAGGCAGCATGAGGGAGCTCCGCCGGAAGATGGAGAGGGTGAGAGACCTGAGGGAGACCCTCAGTCAAAGAGTAAAAAGAAATGTTAAAAGATGAGCCGCTCTAGTTTAAGAGACTAAACCCTGCATGTCTCAGTGCTGCACTTACTGTCCCCCTTTACACAGTGAGTGCTGCTTACTGAAAAAAAATAATTTTAATATTACTTCATTAATATTAATATTGCAACCCAGACATTGTAGTACCTTTTCTATTCTTACATAGTTGGAGGTGGTCAAATCTATTGATCCGTGGTTTTAAAGGTCCCATATCATGCTTTTTTAATCCATTGGCGTCAACATGTATAATAAAATATTGAGTTCAGTTTTCATTTGCTATAAAATTATTAGCTGTTTCCTGGTGCTATTTTTCCAACCCTCTAAAAAGATGTCTTGTGCAAATCAACATGGTATCATGCCACTTCTCAAGAGTAGGCCCTTCTTCAGGAAGGCTAGACAAAGCTTTAAAACTTTCACAGCTGAAAAAACACATTTTTCAGACTTTTAGAGAATGGCTACAAGAGAAAAGTTGCTTTTAATGTGCAGATTAGCTGCTAAAAGAGCCACTTCAACATCAGAAATGTTGCGTTCTGCCTTATGTCACCACTCGCTGATCAGAGAAAGGCACGTTGTGTAATGGGTAGGGGCGGCGTGGTTCATGTAGGTGTTTTCTGGAGGGGACTGGTAATCACTGGCCTGCATAGGACGCTGATCGCCACTTCCACTTTGCCAGGATTAGAGAGCAGAATCCACGAGGAAGAGAAATCTCTTTTTGGTCATAATTTAGATCAAAGAATAGCATTGGTGATTTTTTTCTGATATAGAATTTTAAGACAGTATCTTGACCAAAGTTGAGTTCAGCTGTGTTTAGTGACAGTGTTATTTGAAGATATTTCTGGAATTTTCCTGAAGGCCTGGAAATGTTTTTAATAGGACCGTCTGTCGTCCATCCAACCATGATAAATGAAAATCTGCCATGTTAAGCTTGACACAGCCTCAATGTCTGATCTTTATTTCATTAGATAATCTCTGTGATTTAATCATATATTTTTGAAATAAAGAGAATTAAATATAAAGCAATAGTTTTAGTCTTGCAGATAAAAAAAATGCTTTAATTAAAAAACCTATTTGATTTAGTCTTAGCTTATGAGTGATCCTTTTAACTCTTTTTAAACTCACTGGAGGCAATGACAAAGCTCTTAGCTTCTGATTCTGAGAATTACTGAATAATAGATTTTCTTTTTGCAGTTTAACCAAATGTTTCACTCTTCATTTTGTGTTAGACGGTCAAAGCAAAAAGCTGAACTCCCATCATTACCATGAAAGCAGTGTGAGCATATTATCATATAAAGCAGAGAGAAGGGAAAAAAACTCTAAACACAGCTAGATAAAGATGCTGATGCATCACTGAATGTGAAAATAAAACGGGAAGCTCAGATACATCCTTCAGCAATATTTTAATGAAGAACATAAATAAATTATGTGGCTGTTACTCCTTAAGTCTGATTATCGAAGGTCTATTGGTTTTAAAGTTATTATTTCTGATAAATTACAAAAAACTGTTAATTTAAAGTCTTAAATAGTTTATAATTTTAGTGCTTTATGAAAATAGTGCAGATAGGGCCATGTTTTATATCCTCCATTGAGTGTGGTTATAATAATAAAAGTTGAAGAGGCAAGTAGTGAAATAAATTACAGGGATTCAATGTTAAAACAATCATTTAAACTTAATGTAAGAAGGTTAGAATAACACTAGCTTAGATCTTGTGAAAATATCCCTGAAAGAGAGGACATAGTTCACAGAAAAGCTGAGCCCATAGCTATGTCTAGCGGAGAAATTGGAGTAAACATGGAAAAGCCAACTCAATGTTCTGTAATCAAAAGTGTTGATGGCAGGAGGGCAGCTGATGTTTCCCTCCATCATGGTGTCGCAGCAAAACAGCAACAGATCAGATGAAGCTGCTATGATGAGAAAGTGCAGGGACAACATCAAGTCATGGGAGAATAGAGATAGATTAAAGTGGAATGATGAAATTGGTCCCTATGTCCTCCAGCAGTCTAAGTCTATAGCAGCATAACTATAGCGATAGCTCAGGATAATCTAAGCTGCTCTAACTATAAGCTTTATCAAAAAGAAAAGTTTTAAGCACACCCTTAAAAGTAGACAGGGTGTCTGCCTCACGGACTAAAACTGGTAGTTGGTTCCACAGGAGAGGAGCCTGATAACTAAAAGATCTGCCTCCCATTCTACTTTTAGAAATTCTAGGAACCACTAGTAAACCTGCAGATTGAGAGCAAACTGCTTAGTTTGGAACATAAGGACCAATCAGATCTATGATATAAGATACAATTTGGTTATTTAGATGACAAGGAGGATTTTAAATATTCCTTCTCACAAATAAAATAGATTAATTGTTCTCAAGTTTGTTAGTGTTGTCATTATTTTTTGCTTGTTTTGATGAACCCAGGAAAAACAAGATTTGAGGTAAAGGAAGGTGGTGGGTCAGAAGCTGGAAAGAATTTTAACCACATATAGTAATTCGCCCTGAACCTTTATCTCAGAATTTAATTACTCTGAACCCCCAATCTCCCTTTGATCTTTGCATTGTCTGTGTTTTGACATTGAGAGTCACCCAATACATCCCGCCTCTGTCTGCAGAAGTCTTGTCAACCTCTGAAACATAAATTATTTGTAAGAATAAGCCAAAAGCTGATTAGTCTTTTCCTGAAGCTTTAGTTAATATAATTAAGGCTAAACTAAAGGTATTTTTTTAGATAAAGAAATGCTGACTTTAAATACTGCATTTACAGCAGAGTCATGACCAGACATCAGACCCAGATTGTATCCTGGATTTCTTCCCCAAACGTCAGTTTTTATCACAGCCATTACATTATAAAATAAAATGAAATCCTGTTAAACTGAAAGAAAACATTTTATATTGACAGACATTGAATAAATGTAACCAGATGTAAACACACAGGAGCTGACATAGCTGCCTCATTTAAGTTCTGAAATGATCCACATTTCTGCCTAGATGTGACTGTTTTTATCTCAGTTTTCGTACATAAACTTGATAATAATTCAGGCCTGGAAAGAAAAACTAAAATTTTTCAACATCACTTTTACTTTTTCTCTTGACTAACAGCACTGTTCTGTGTTTTTGTATCTTTTATCATTCAGATGCAGAGGGAACTGAACAGCAGAAGAGGGGAGGGCACCGACGTCAAAGATGGCAGCTTAGCCCAAAGAGGAGTGTTCTCACCTCAGGAAAGTCCGTGCAACGCGCCACGGTCCCCTCACACTCCTCAGTCCCCCTGTTCGTCCACTCCTGTGCCTGTGCCCCCCACGCGCTCCCACTCAGACTCTGAGGCTTTACTGGGTGAGCAGGGGGCTGCAATGAGGCTCAAGGGCCCCACGGAGAACCTGTTTCTGGATGCCCTGACTCTTGACCCCATTAGTGGTCTGGAGGTCCCTCCCCCCTGCCGACTGGAGAGTGAGAAGCGGTTTCCCTGCATGAATGAGGTGATGCTGTTAGCTGTTTAGCATTTAGTTGCATGTCTCCACCTATATTTAGCTGTATTTTGCTTCTAAGAAGCCAGTTTTTATTTCCAACTGTTTTATTATTTAACCTTAAGCTTTTTTTGAATGAATGTTTAACTATCAGCATCAAAGCTAAATTAGTAAACGACTTGAGAAGCTTACAACCATAATGTCATGATTTTGAGCTTTTACAAATTTATCAACATAAAGATCCCCATAAAAGTGTGTTTAAATATCCTTTTGCAGTTTCCACTTGGACCACCCACTAGCTATAGTCATTAACAGGCTTGTGACCTAACTCTGACAGAATTTATGCCCACTCCTCCTGGCAGGATTGGTAGAATCCATTTAAATGGGTATTGGGACACAGTACTGAAAGTGCTCATGCACAGAAAAAGATGGCTTACGGAAAGAGCACATAGGACGGCCTTACTTAAACATATCATCGGAATGATTGACAATTAGGAGGACCACTTATTTAGATGATCCACCTGGAAATAAAAGATAGCCCTCTATACCTTTAATACACCATTACATAATTAAAGGTACCATTTATTTCATACATTATTAAAAATTAAATGTGTATTTAAGTAAACCATGAAATAAATATATGAACCATTAAATAATTAAATGTAACTTATCATCAAATGTTAATTTAAATGAAAGATTTGCAATTGGATAACTAAATAAACTTTTTTACAACATTGAATTTATAAATATAAAAATATTTTGAAAATAAATTCATTCAGATATACATTTAATTCTGTGATGATTTATTTCCTTGCATTTAAACGGCTCACTTCATCATCAAATTTAGAGAGCTGGATTAGGATGGTATCCATAGAGACCCTGAACCTTAAGCCATATTTTCCTAAAAAAAAAATAGCGATCTTAGGGTCAAAAACAGAAAGAATTTGTCTTGCTGGGTGAGGAGAAGCAAATCAGACATCAAGGTTTTAATGGAAGTCCTCCTATTCCTGCCTTTATGTAAAAAAGTCGAATATTGAAATTAATTTTATAATTTAAAGTCTGTGGATTTATTTGCAAACTTATTATTTAGTTTTACATTTAATAATTTAATTGTACATTTAATTGTTTAATAGGACTTTTAATAATTTCATGGTAGATTTTTGTGTTTTACAGTGTATTTAATTATTTAGTTGGACATTTAATGCAACATTTATTTATTTTATGGTGTGCTTGTTTATTTAATTGAAGGCATATTCTAGTCAATTTGAATAAGGCAGATGAAAGTAAATGTAATGTCTGCGCAGGTTACCCTTTCAAAAACCAGTTTTATATTTATATTTTAGATTGCATGTTTATTAGTTCACTCTAATTTGTCCATGTTTTAATGGCCTGAGTATGGGAAAACATTTAGCGTGTTGGAGTAAAACCCGGGAACCACCAAACCTGCAATCTTCCAAGATCAGAAAAAAAGAGTTGGTCAATTAAGAAAGAAGCCCCGGTTCCAAAATCAGCTCCTTCAAGCTTGACTGAAATCTTACATTTCAGCCCACAACATAATTGATTGGTTGATTTTATTGATCTCACAGTGGAGAAATGTACTCGTTACATCGCCTCAATAGTCAAAAAGAAGAAGAAGGTGCCAAAACTACAGTATATATAGTGCATCCACATATATATATGACAGCTAAGGTCTCTTATTTTGCAGTATTATTGTACAAGGTAATTACACAGGGTATTTACATGGGTATTTATATATAGCTATTGCAAAGGGAATCAAATATAGAAAAAATCTAAACAAAACAAAAACAGGTTATTGCACTGGGTATTAAATAGTAATTGCACATTATACATTGTATAAGTTATTGCTGTTATGGTGTCGCATTGTAGAGTCTGGTGGCAGCAGGGATGAATGACCTGCGAAAGGGCTCCTTTTTAACAAACAGGGTGTAAATGTCTTTCACTAAAGGAGCCGCTCAGCTCCTCTATACACTGGTGCAGAGGGTGGAAGGTGTTGTCCATGCATGATGGATGTAGGCTTGGACAGCACCCTCCTCTCAGCTACTTCCTCCACTGAGTCCAGAGTGCAGCCAAGGACAGAATCGGCCTTTCTAGACAACAATAAACAATTTAAACCGTCTTTTGAGGAGCCTTGTGGAGAGCACTGAACACTTAAGAACATTAACTAACTGTTAAACATGGTAGTGGTTGCATCGTGCTGCTTCTAGTGAAATATATATTGCCAGAGGACTAATCGACACCTAGACAGAAGCACGCCGTCCACAGCTGGAGGTTTAAAATGGTCCAGAATAGGTGAATGGACGTGTTAATGGAAAGTTCTGTGTTTACACCTTGAAGCTTTCTCTCTCTGGTTCTTTTTCCTATAAAAAAAAATGAGATCACTCAGGACAAACTCTTCAAATAACACTTCATAATGTATATGTATTAAATAACCATGAGACGTGACAACAGATTTTGATAGAAATGTAGAAATGAAGTGACCCTCCCTTGCAAAGTCCTACGAAGAAACTTGGTTATAACTTAACAATGGCTAGAATGTTAATTTGGCAAGTTATTTTTTTTGTCTTATCACTTGATTTTTAAAGTATTGGAATTGAATTCCCTGTTAGTAAACAGAGTTTTCTCTTTGTCTGCTTTGTTTCAGGCTCTTAATGAGATCTCAGAGGATGAAGATGTTCATGGATACCCAGAAGAGGAGACGAGAGAAGGTGGAAGTCTCCTCAGGTGAGAGTTCAAGTAGATCCCCAGTCAGGCTGTTTCTGCATGTTTGCACTAGATGGATGACAGAGAACTGGGATGACTGGCTGTAGGGTATCCAAGCTTTTACTGCATTTCTCTTTCTCCTACAGACATGTCGGCCCGCTCAGATTCTTTCTGTTGGTTCTGTTAGCTTTTACTTGAAGTGACTTACAGAGTGTCTCTGGTGAATTTTATTTGCAGTTTCCTTTAAGCCATGATAGAGATCCACATTACTGCCATGATGAATAATTCAGGCAGATTTAAAATATTAAGAAGAGTTGATTTGCCTGGCAAAATAAAGAAAAGAGGACAAATGTTTTGTTAGAATTACTCATCCTCATTGGGAATATGATATGTAAAGCAGACGAGCCCCCCCACAATGCTGTGAGAACATTCTAGGCGTAATGAATGACTTATTACTCACTTATGGGGTTTAGTGGAAGTTTGATTTTGATGGGTTTTTTCATTTTTTTTTTCTATTTAGAGCCAAGTCTGTGTGCTCCATGAGTGACTTCCAGCGGTTGATGGACAGCTCGCCGTTCCTCCCCGACAAGACACGCCCTGGCGGCCCAGATCGAGACGACATCACCCCACCACTCTCTCCAGATGACCTGAAGTACATTGAGGAGTTCAGCAACAAGGGCTGGGGTTTCCCTGGTTCGCCTTCTGCCCAGGGGGTGTTGACGGGCAGACTCATCAAGGAAGGGGAGGCCAGTGCTGAAACGCTTCAGCAGACCTCCTGGTTCCTGACCACCAGCGCGACCCTGACCACCAACACCCTGAGCAGCCCTGAGCACTGCCACAAGTCCCCGCTCAGGGGCAATGGGGCTGGGGTTGGAATTGAGCACTATGGCGTTCCCATCCTCCACAGTCCAACCAGAGATATGGCAGCTGAGCGCACCACAGTCCAGGACCCAGATGCTCTGTATTCCAGGGCGAGCAAAGCAAGGACTGGAGGAGAGGCTGTCATTGGAGCCAGTGGATCTGACGAGGTGTTCAGCAGTCCACGGTGGCCCTGTCTCCTGGAGGGTGGGGGACTCAGGACTTCTCCCAGTCAGTCTCCTATCTGCTCCTCTGTGGGCTATGCTTCCTCACTGGAGCTTCAGCTCCAGAAAAATCTGAGTGATGACATGAAGGAAGTAGCCATATCCGTACGAAATGCCATTCGCTCCCCACCTGGGCTGGCGGTGCGCGACAATGCCTGTCAGACCAACGGATTCACCACACGAGGAACCCAGACTACCCAGACCATAAGTGTAGGTCTACAAACAGACCTGCTGCGGAACCTGACCAGCAGCCCTCACCGCTGCCTCACACCCAAAGGCGGCAGCACCCCCATCTCATCTCCATCACGCAGCACCAGGAAGGTCCAGTACTCCCCGGTGGTCCAGAGCAAGTTCGAGAGACCCTGCTGCTCACCCAAATATGGCTCACCCAAGCTGCAGCGTAAACCATCCACATCCAACAAGAACGAGGTACCCAACAACACCCGGGCCCCCACGCCCACCACCCCTCAGAAGGGCAACGGTGAGTCGGCCTGGGCCCGCTCCACCACCACCAGGGACAGTCCTGTCCACACCACCATCAACGACGGTCTCTCCAGCCTCTTCAACATAATCGACCACACGCCCGTGGTCTACGACTCCCTGCAGAAGTTCAACAAGTCCCCAAGCCGCTCCAGACCCACGCCCCCGCCCACAGCAGAACCCAGCCCTGCTCACGCGGCCCTTGTAGGAGACCCCAGGAACATGCAGGACTGCATACGGATTGCCAGGGGGCGTTCCCCCAGCCCAGTGCAGCTGATTGTAGAGACTCAGGGGGACAAGAACCCTGAGGTGGTCAGCATCCGTCAGGATCTGTCCGCCCCGCCGGGCTACACGCTGGCTGAAAACGCAGCTCGCATCCTCAACAAGAAGCTGCAGGAGCAGAACTTTAGAGAGGAGCGAAGGCTGCAGGGGGGAGGACAGGGAACCCACAGCAGGGACACCAGCAGGCAGGCGGAGTCTGACAGAGGACAATCTGGATGTATGGAGGTAAATATACAGACGCCCTGGATTCATCGTTTCATCATTCAGTTAATCTGGGGCCCATGTTTTATGACACCCGCTGATATTTCTGACATCGTCTCGGATTCCGTTTGAAGACAAACTTATTCAGTTAGAGTCAAGATTATAATATGCACTAAATGTTTATGTTTGTTCTGTTCTCAGATCGAAAGCACTGACTGATGCAATGGTAACGTTAAAATATTTAGTGCTCCTCATAAAAAAACTCAGCCTCTCTCTACTGCTGCATGCTAAGAGTTTCTTCTCTCTGTGTCTTCGGCTGCTGGTAGTCTTTCCTCTGTGCACCAAGTTTCTCTGTAGCCCAACTAAAATATATTTGTGGGGCTGATGACTGAAGCTCTGACAACAGTGATCTCACACTTGCCTAGAATTGCAGTTTAAAAGGCTAGGTGATTAATCATATATCAACGAAGTCTAGTTAAATCTTCAAGCAGAATATTTCAGCAGTAGGAGTTTGAGTGTTTTGATGAAATCGGAACTTTAGCCTGTCAGTCTGGCCCTTTTTAAAAACACATATATAAAACATGTAATCGCAATAAATACAATAAATGATCAACTGTTTCACTCATGTTTTAAAGCGGGTCTAAAAGTCAGAGATAAGACGACAATGATGGTCCATCCGATGAAAGTATAAGTTAACCAGTCAACATCTATAGCAGAAAGAAAGTGAATTTCTGCCAAAAAAAAAACCCCATAACAGACAGCAATCAATTCTGATGATTCCATAAGAACATACAAATGTCATTTTTATAACATAGACTATAAAACCAGTCATAAATGGATCATACCATTATTATACCATTATAGAAGACGGAAAATACGCAGAATGCAGAAAAATGACAGATCTCTTATTAATACAACAATTATATGGTAAATGGCCTGTACTTGTATAGAGCTTTATCATGTCTGACTTGACCAAAGCCCTTTACACTACATTCAGTCACTCACCCATTCGCCCACACACTAATGGTGGTGAGCTACATTGTAGCCACAGCTGCCCTGGGGCTCACTGACAGAAGCAAGGCTGCCATACACTGGCGCCACTGGTCCGTCTGACCACCATCAGTAGGCTATGCGGGTAAAGTGTCTTCCCCAAGGACACAACGTTGAAAGCCAGACCTGGGGCTTGAACCGACAACCCTTCAATTTCAGGGCAAATTCCTGCATCTGATGCCACTATCGCCCACGATCGACTAGTACTTTTCACAGTTTGTCACTTACAACCAACACCTTTGCCTTCAATTAATGTGAGTCTAAATGGTTGACCATCGGGGAAAAAAAATGAAGGAAAAGGTTACATGGTTCTCAATATATATGTTAGTTTTGCTAATGAAAGCCAACCACCCAATAGTTAACACTTTAGGCTTGCACATCTAGACACTGAAATGTTTCTCTACCAATTAGCTCATGCCTGGTCAGATTTGTGTGGGTGTATTTGTGAACTTAAATTTTTAAGTCTTGCTACAGATTGTGTTATAGGATTGTGGTCTGGACTCTGACTGAGCCATTCTGACCAGTTCATATCGATCTGAACCATTCAACTGCAGCTCTTGCTGTATCCATGCTGCTGCTGTCCCACTAAACCATAGACATTTACACCTTTAAGGAATATCCTCTTACAAAAATTTCAAATATATATATCTATGTGTGTGTATGTATGTATGTATGTTTGTGTATATATCTATATATATATATATATATACACAAACATAGATATATATATGAAATATATATATATATATATATATATATATATATATATATATATATATGTATGTGTGTGTGTGTATAGATATATATATATATATATATATATATATGTATGTATGTATGTATGTGGGGGTGGGGGGGTGTGTGCAAGTGCAATGTGCAGGGTTAATTTCAGCAGAATGTTGCAATTTCAGCAGAATGTTGTATCTTTCTTCAGCTATTTTTTTGCTTCTATCCACTCATTCTAGATTGTAAATATGATTTATGCAAGTTGGGAGTATCTTGATAGGTGTGTGCCATATTTTTAATTTTTTTGGGATGGGTTGAATTGAGCTCCATGAGATTTTCAAAGCTCAGGATACTGCCTCAGAACCTATGACTGCTTTTATTTTCTCTTTAACTTTCCCCTCGGTCTGCTGTGCTCTTAATGTTCTTTACTATCACGTTTGTTCTCTGATTGTCTCTAACAAACTTCCAAGGCCAACAGCTGGAACAACTGGATTTACACTAAGGTTAAATTAGACAGAGGTGGAATCTGTTTATATTTGTAGTGACCACTGAAGCAGTTGGTTTGAACTGGTTTTCACTTAAGAGTATCAGATCAAAGAATCTAAATGTTTGTGCCTGCCACACTTGTAAAAAGTGGGAACATTCCTCCCTGGCCCTCCATTATATCCAACTAGGAGGAAATGACTGGTATTTTTTAACCCAGAATACTGCTTGAATACTGGCGTCAAAATAAAGTTCCTCCTATGTTTATTTCTTTCCAAGTTTACTGGTTTTACCTGTTTGATAAACGCTTTCTGTGGTCTGGAGGCTGCAAGTCGCCACCCTCTGTCTGCTTTCAATATGCCAGATATATCATGCAAATCCTCTTTTCCTTTGCTCAGTTTTATCAATTAACATTTCCTGCTCTATATCTTTCCTCCTCCTTCTCCCCTTCCTCCTCCTCCTCCTCCTCCTCCTCTCTGGGCTTGATCTGTCCCTACACTTTCCTGTCCGCTGATCCAGAACCACACTGTCATACTAACAACTCCTTGGGGACTCTAATTCTGCTTGTCTCCATGATGTAAGTTCCTCTTCTTCCTCCTCCTCCTCTTCATCCTGGGCCTGTGGCAGTGGGTTCGCCAGGCTCGCGGACCTTTCACCTCACACCCTGCAGACCTGTCCTCCACATGCCCCCCTCCTCATTAGTGCATGCTTCACAGGTCAGCAGAGGGATAGTGTGAAGCCATGGGTGTGGTCTCAGGTGTATCTGCTCCTTTGTGGTGATGCATGCTCAGTGTTTATTCCTTTAGGACCCTGCTGGTGGTTTTGCATGTTGTTGTCCATAAAACATGAGTTGTACAAATTTCACTGCAACCCCTTTAATTTATTTGTATATTGATATGACTTTACAAAAGCTGATTTTTAAAATAAGTTGCATCAGAAAGCAAAAATAATAAATTTTTTATAGCTTTTACATCCTATTAGGCTCACAATTGATTGATTGATTGATTGAAATATTGATTGTGCTCGTTTCCATACGAATCCTGTTTTTGGCAACAATACCTGCTTTCAATATGGGAGCAATAAAATTCCAAGTTATTTTAGAACTTTATTAATTACTTTGTGTTTTGACTGTTGAGCATGGTCTATAACCCACTAACAAACTGTTATCAATGGTTTTTCTTTTAAAATCTAACCCTTTTCTAACCCTGTCACCTTTGAAGTGTAGATATGTACTAAAAAGGTTAATTATGAAGATCAAATGTGAAAGGGCATATATCAGTTTAAATCAGAGTTTATGCAAATTTCACTTTTAGATCTCACTAAAGCTCACAGCTTAATATAATTCTTCACATTTTTGCATTTGAGATCCAAAAATATGTAAAGTATGAAAGAAAGTGATGTAAAAAATGCAAACTATAAAGTCATAAACTAAATGGCCACTTAAAAGATAAATGACATAAAAGCCCCCGGGGTTTCTAAAAGGAAGCTGCATTTGGTCATTAATCATGTAAGGAAGAGGAAGTCGGCAGAAACGTCTAAAAAGGCATAGCTTTGAGAATTAGTGAACAGCCATACTAGAGAGGGATTTAAAATAAGTCAGCCTGTGATTCATCATATTAGTGAATGACGTCTCTATAAAAAAACAATTTGCAGAACAAATCATTCAGATAGATGTAATATATGCTCTAAAACTGACCAGCATTGTACAGAAATAACCAAGCTTATTTCTTCCAGTAACACTAAATTAACTTTATGATGGAGCTCAGGGAGTCCGAAGTCTCACTCTTCCTTGACTATCAGTCTTCTTTTTATCATGAAGGTTTAAATATGCGCTTTAGGCTAATCCAGCACACATAATGGCTGAAGGGATGTTAGAATAATGATATATGATCAGACAGCAGCTTCAGCTAAAGCTTAGTATCATTTCAAAATAAGGAGGATTATTATATATTTGGACAGAGCTGTTGTTTATTTAACAGAACTGTGGAGATCTGCAAGAATCTTAACATTTTGAACCTATTCTTTATTGTTACAAACATTTTTTTCTTTATAACCTGAAAATAATGATGCTCCCTTACAAGAGTTGCAGCTCCCTTGATGGTCTGGCTGTTTACTCCCTGAACTTGAAGGATAAACTTTGGTGTTTCCTGCTTAGATGCTGTTTGTTGCAAAGTGCTCCTGTGTTGCAAAACTTATCATTTTGAAACTTTTGGTAAAAAAATAAAAAAATTTAAAAAAAAGATGCACAGATATGTCAGATAATTAGAATATCATGAAAAGGCTGTGTTGTCACTAATTTCAGAAAGTGAAAATCATACGTCACATAGAATCCTTCCTCATAGGGTAAGATAATATATGAAGCTTTTTTTAACCTTGATCATAATTGAGATAATAAAAAACTCAAAATTTCATGTCTCAGAAGAATTTTGTTAGATAAGCTCAATAAAAAAAGGTTTTTAAACAGAGATTACAGGCTACAGGAAAGTATGTTCATTTCTATGTACTCGGTGCTTGGTTGGAGCACCGACCATTACTGTATCACTGCAGCATGGCATGGGGGTCGTTATTTTCCTAATTGAGGAAAAAATAATTAAAAGTGTAGCATTTTTCTTAATGGTGAATTTTTTAAGATGTATCTGTATGGTTTCTGTTAGATGTGTTACAGTATGTCAACATATTTTATTCATAAATGTGTATTTTAGAAAAAAATACAATTGGAAAAACAAATACTCTGAAATCTGATGTATGCCTTTTAAACTTTAAAACCAAATGAGATATGGTGAACTTGTAATGCTCAAAACATGATAATGTACGCTGGCTTGTCAAGTTTTCTCTCTTTTTTTCCCTTATTCTTTTCAAATTTCCCTCTTGATCTAACTTTGAATGGAGATGTATTTTATATTTTTTTTATTTATTTTTTTTTTTGCCAAATCAAGTGAACATATCCATAAAAATGAAATAAGTCATTTAAAGACTGAAAGCTAAGCAAATGTAGCTTCCAGTGGAAGCAAAGTGACATGCCCATTGATTTTTAAACTTTCCTTACTAAAAAGGGACTTATTTGAATTAAAACTAAAACATTGCCATATAATATGATCTATATAATATCAGTGGAGAAGCACCAGCAGCATATTATTCTACCATCAGTTACTGTACTCTAGGCTTAGTGAATGGTTATGTTTATCCAGCTCCAAAGGAAAATAAATATTTCAGATTCATGAAAAATGTGGAAAAACATTTTGTCACCTCTTAAAGCTATATCTAAATCCCTAAATCTAAATGTAAACTTTCATTTTTAACTGTTTAAATCTTTACCTAAATATAGATCTTTAATCTAAATCTATATCAATATAAAATAAAGCAAAAGTAGTTTTTGCAATCTCACAGTTGTTGACCAACCATAAAATGTGTCTTACTTTTTATATTTATAAATTTATATCAGACTAAAAGTGACATTAAGCAAAATTAATATGATTACATGTAATACAAGTAACTTTTCCTTAAAAAAAATGAAACCAATGTGGCTGCAGTATTGAATAAATACAAATGATTTTTGGATGAATAATCATACAAAACCACTGTTTGGATCTGAGAAAGTCATGTTACTCATTAGATTCTGTCTTCATCATGAGCTTGTTTCCGTTTAAAAGGTCTGCTAGTGACCATCACACAAGTCAGGAAGATTACCAGGCTTGATGTTTTCCATATGAGGCGATTAAATTCAAACTCCTTTTTTTTATTCCACTTAGTCTACTTTTGGGCTGTGATATATATTTTTTTTTTTTACATTTTCAGTCTATTAGAGGCTGGATTGTTTTTTTTTTTTTTCTCAAAGTTGATCCAGTTATTTTCTTGCAGACTAATAAGTCATCTTTAGGTGTAAAATATTTAGACAACTGAAGGTAATTCTGTGTCTCCTGTCTAAAGTTTCCAAATCTAATTTCCTAATCTAATTAGGGTTTTTTTTTTATCTTAATTTAAATTAACTGTCATAACCTCACATAATGACATAATTAAAACTGTCCTAAATTTAATTTGACCAAGAAGACATTCTCCATTTTTATTTTACTAAATGATTATTTATTTAGATACATTTAAGAAGTTCTCACCATACAACAGGGCTAAAGGTTTTTCTGACTTTGGCCCTGATTAAAAAAATTAAAGAAAAGACAGAACAAGTAAATTATCTGTAAACTTATGCCCAAAATTATTTAAACATAACAATCAAAATTATTTACATTAAATCTGATAGTTTATGTTTGACTGTATACGAGCTGGGCATTTAGCACGTTACAGCAATTTAAAAGGAGTATATGGAGAATTTAATTTGTTTTTATCTACAGTAAAAGAAAAAAAACTTGAGAATTGTCTTTATTGAGGTTACGGCATTTAAATCCTTCTTACAGTTACTGACCATTTATTTCATTGCATATTCCCGTTTGTATTTTTGAAAATTCCTCTTAATGGTGACTTTAAGGTCTGAGGGCCTCTTTTCCATCACCCTCCTCTTTAACTCCCTAAAGTGACCCGAGCTGGGATGCTTCATGGTTTTTAAAATACTTTCTGAAAGAAGAAACATATTGGTTAAATTAAAAGATTAAAATAAACCCAAGTCTAACCTTTTTTTTCAGTCTTATTTTATCACACCAAACAATTTATTTCATGAATATTCATCCACGCTGCCTTTGGTAGCTCACAGTTGGTAGTTGTATTTGTTCTACATATAAACAAGCTGGGAGGTCTGCAGAAAGAGCCAGGGAGCATTGAGACACCTTGAAATTGTATATTATTATTATTATTTTTTTTTAATATATATATAGCTCCTCTTCTAACATGTTTGTTGTTGTTTTTTTTAATCATGCTGGAAATGATGGGATGGTTTTTTTTTTTCACAATGTTCGGATGGTGATATTTTAGGTTTGTTTTTTTTTTTGCCATGAAGGAAAAAAAGTTTCTGACTATGTGGAACAGAGACCTGCGATGTGATGTGTTGCACTAAGATGAAAACTTATTTTAAAAACTAATTTAACAGGCTTTCCTGCTCCCATATCTCTGACTGTGGTTCGTTATTGTATCATTCATCCAGGTCTCCATAAAGGTAGTATTTCTTAGTCTGTTTCTGCTTTGTTGTATTGATGTTACCTGCTTCTCAGTTAAAATGCACAGTTCTGTGAAAAAGTGTTCAGGTCCTTACAGATTTATCCTGTTTTTCCTCTTTAGTCTTAAATTTTCAGATCATCAACCTAATATCAATATTAGATGGGAAAAAATATCCAAACCTACTTGACCCTCTGTAAGAAAGTCATTTTACAAAATGCATCTAAACAAATTCAGAGAAACACAATAAGTCAACATCCACAACAAGTAGAAAACAATAAACTTTTCCAAGATTAACCAGTAAATTTGATGAAAACAATATCTAGGGGCTTCTTTTTTTGGATGTGAACATCCAAAAACTTTGAGTAAAAAATCTAAGGCTGCGTTTCAGAAACAGAACATCATCCCATCTTTATTTTACATAAAAATACTTTCAAGATCTGAAACATTATGACAAAAGAGCAAAACCATAATTAATCTTGAAGGTTAAAAACACACCTTCACTGCACTTTAACATCCGTCTAGGAGCTGTCACTGAATTAGGCCACTGGTTGAGTTGTTGAGGCAGTGAAAAAGAATTGGTTATGGGGACGATTTGTTTCTCCTGTCCTCTTTTTCTGGCTTCCTTGGCCTATTTTACGCCAAGTAAGCAGCCTCTCTCTCTATGCAGGGAATAGATGCATCCCACTCTTCCATCCTCTCTGTATGAGTGAACGTTTTCAAACCTCCTGCCTAATTCTACATTAAACATCTCACCTAATGTGAACTACTACATTAACTGAACACAAAGTTGAGATTTTACTAACGTCGTCTCATTCATGTTCCTCAGTTTCAATCTGTTCACCTTCCTCTTCATCGATCAGATGGTACCCTGCAGATACCCTGTTGCCCTTCTTCTTCTGATGGCTCCTTGTCATTGGCAGGACCTCCCTCGTTCTCCGGTGGCTCCGCCGTTGGACTCCTGCTTCCTGAGGCCGCCCTGCCCAGCTAACCGCCGTCCCCCCTCACGCTGGGCCGCACACTCCCCTTCCTCTTCCCCCAAGTGGAGCGAGGGCACGAAGAGGAGGTTCACCTTCCCACCGATGGGAGAAAGGAAGCCCATTCTAGAGGGAGAGGAACCAGCCTGAAGGCTGCCCAAATCTTTTTCTCCCTTCTGTAATTTAAGCCTGAAGAGACCCAGTACCTCAATAATGCCCCCCCAAAACTAGATACCCATAAAATATTGCGCCAGAGCAGGGGGAAGGTATCTAATAAGTAGCACCAGCTGATCATTAAAGAAACCAGGACTGTTTGGAAGTATCGGGAATGTACTGTAATATCAAATGTTGGCATTTCCATGAGAGGTGCCTGTGTGGGTTCACCTCAATAATAATAATATCACAAAAAAATGTCATTCTTGCAGTTATTCAATCCAGAAACAAAACGTGTTGATTTTTACCCACAGAGTGAAATATTTCACATATTTCTATTCATTTTCATTATTATTTTCATATATATATATATATATATATACATATTTTGTTTTTAGCCATGACCTTGATTAAACTCCTAGTGGGGGATGCCAGTGATTGTCTGCTACCCAGTGACAAGCCAACAATCCCCCCTTGATTGCCTTAAAATTGTAACAAATCTAAAATTTCTTTATTTTTTTTATTTGATCTAATTGATATTCTTTTTTCCAACATATTTAAGTTTGGTTCTTCATTAGTTATTAGCCAAATTCATCCAAATTGAGAGAAAGAAGTTCTTTGAAATGTGCCACTCTGTTGTAAAGAATCTCTATGAGCATAACTGAATTGAATCAATGGCACAAATTCATTTTTTTGACGATATTTTATTTATTGAGATGGATCCGTATGTTTAGGTTACTCATTACCCCCCATATTTAAATGTATTATCTTTGTATTTGAACCTTTTTTCAGAGGGAAAAAACGGGTTCGCTGAACATTGCACTAGGAACGGTTTATTTTTCTCACATTCTCCAACATTATTTCCTGTATCTCTACATGCTGTTTTAATTAGCCTGTCTCTCAAACTCACCTTTCTCTTTCAGAGTGAAAAATAGAAACAAAAGGACAAACGTGAGAAAATTCCTTTGTGTCATCCGTCCAAACTGAAAAATCCCCATGATGTCATTTCTGACGCTAATGTCCTGATTTATTTCCACGTTAAGATGAATGTCCGTCTCATGTTGACATGATAAACCTGAAGAAAATTATGCATAAATGGAAGGCGGGGGAAAAAAAAGTTAAATACTTGCATGCCTTTTGAACACTAGCACTTTAGTGCATGTACATTCGAGCTCTCGTCTTTTGTGGTCACTCGGCTCGGCTGTGAACACTCATTCCAAAGGGAAGTCTGAGCTGCTTTTGTTGTCACATGAAACACCAGTTTTTAAGTAAATTATTGTACCTTATAGGCTGTCTTTGGTACTGTTGGATATGAACTCTTTTTTTTTTTTTCCACAAGAGAAATGGATTCTGAAAACAAATTATGAATGTTTTAAATGGAAAGTCTGTGTCAAAACAAGAAGTCTAATAATCTATTGTCTTATGTAAATAGTAAATGGTAATAAACAAGAATGTGTATTTACAAGTCCCCCTCAGTTTTTTGGTGATTATGTTTTGAATCTGAGGCTTCCTCAAGCCTATAGTATTATCTTTTATTGTTTGGCTAATTAGTTCAATAAAGTGTGTAGTAATATTACGTCATCTTAGATGATTATTATGTGTATAATTTATGGAAATTTAATCTGAATTCTTTACCTTTCTGTGGATAAATCAGCCTTAAAGGAGCAATAATTTATGTATTTTTAGATGGAAAGACCCAAAAGAGACATCTTATCTTTGAAGTAATCTTTTTTGATGGAATAAGGCATGACGTTAAGCATTTTCTCTGCATGTACGCCTATGTGACTAGCTGCCAGTCGGGCTGCAACACCTCCCTCCCCATAACATGCCACTACTAACTCAGGGCAGAGCAGCTAATTTAGACTTCTTTTGCAGGAGAGCTACTCAAACTGCTCTAATAAGTAAACATTCTGGTAAAAGTATTAGCCGTAAACATACACTGTTTGATACTAATGGTGAAACACTTTATTAATTGCTCAGGTAGTGTCAAACAGTACACCTGTCAGGGAAATTTAGCTTATTGCTCCTTTAAGACACAAAGAGAGATGGATTTTTTTAGATGCTCTTTAGGTTATAATTCATTTAGAATCAACTCAAATAGATCAGAAAAAGAATCAGCAGGAGCAGGGTAACCAATGGGTTCATTAAGGCAAAATAAATGGCGGTTCCCCCTTCATCATTGCTGTGAGGCATTTGTTTGTTAATTTATACCTTCCAGCAGGATGTTTTATACCCCCTTTTACAACTAGGGATTTATAAGTTA